TTAAGCACAAAGCTAAACGATGGACTATCTGTGCTATTCTCACCACGAGTATCGAAAGCCGTTTTTAGCCCATCATCATAGATCAGCAGCAAGATAAGAAAAGTTGATTTACCTAGGTTTTTGTTTTACAACATGTGTTTGAAAAGAAAACCAACAACGTTACAAAGGTTTCTCATGAGCGATGGATATTTATCGATACTTCTGAGGAAGAGTGGAGTTAACTAAATAACTGTAATTAGGCTCAAGTAATACTTCCTCGTTCTCAGACTTAACAGTAATTTAAACAAGTGGATCCCAACCGCCGGTCCACAGGGAGACTTCAGCTGATCCGCAAAACGGTTTATTGTGAATTGTCCACTTCTAACACCGCTTGTTACAATCGTGCTATACTTTCTCTTCACTTTCCCCTAAATTGTATTAAGGTTGTACTTATTCTTAACATGAATTAACTCATAGTTTTCTACATAACAAATTGCTGTTTATTACTTTAATCAACAACACAGAAATTTAGAACTAGGTTTGGTTTCTTACTGGCAGCATTTCCTTCGCCTCGTAATCGGTATATTCGGTTCTTCTCACATCTCTCGGTCTTTTCTTCTTTCTTCTGTTACACTCTTTTTTTTATATCTTTCTGAAATCCGCGCCGAACAAGTCTCTTTCTTTCTGACTTGTACACCTATTTAGATTATTACGCATTACAACGACTCATAATCATAGGTGGTTTTGTTGTTTCTATACCACTGAAGAAGAAGAAAGGCGATCGCTCACTTTTTAATACTTTCCTAACGACCGAGAATGCTTTGATACCCTAATCCCTTAGGGACTGACCAAAAGTAGACAGCTTTCTTACCTTTCTCAACTCCAACTGATGTTTCTTACACCTAACCTCATAAAATTGTTAAAAAACAGTGTGTTTATAGATATAGCTACTGAGGTATATTTGCTTACAATGTAGGCTAAAAGTACTTTCAAAAGTCGCTATTGTACGTAACGGTCCGTGAAATTGTGAAATTGAAACTAACTAGTCCCCAGTTGGAAACAGGTCAGAAACCACTATTCCAAACGCATTTTTTTCTTCAAATGCAATTTTTGGTGAACGTATTAACTTCAATTTTCATTACCTTCAGGAGAATAAGAGACATACGGGCTACGTTAACTCTTTTTAAAGGAAGTGAGAATAAAATAAAATCGAATTCACATTCCATCCTGTTTAATGAGCTCTTTGATCCTTCAATACAGCTGTAACAGTTATAATCAAAGAGGCAACATAATATGTTGAAGGATTAAAACTAAGTGTATAATTGTCACAGGAGTAATGACTCCAAACATATATATACATTAAATATTGAAATATTAAAGTGGGTTGCCACAATGGTATAACTCCAGATTTCGGAGCTAGTAACAACGGTTCGAATCCATACGATACCATAAAATATTCCCTCCACTTTAAACTGTGGGTGCATTATAAATATGAAAGCCAATTCATTAGTGTGGGTGGTAGGGTGCTGCTAACTGGTTACATTCCTTCTGGTTAGTAGTTTTACTGAGGTAAATCTTTTTTTAGTTTTCAATATAATTAAATATTCTGTCCTTTATATTTATCAAAAACATTATTTATATATATAATGATACTTACAAATGCACAATAACAATAAAATTGTTTGAAGAATAGTTTTTATCAATAATTGCAGTAGGTTTACACAGAACAAACCGATTTTAGGACCTGAATCCGATGTGAGGTTGTGCGCATTTCGTAAACGTTACCCAAGTCTAAACATTGTGGATATACAAGCATTGAAAACAAAGCAATTAGATCTGAAAATAGAAATGAAAAACTCAATCAAAATAAATGCACTTTAAACATTTTAACTTTAGATCTAGAACGGAAGAAATTCAATTGATTCAGAACAGAATATAACAGGTACCATGCATATACGTTTAAAATGAAAATTACAAAACAATTGGTTTATTAAGCTGATATAAAATGTCTGCTTACTTTAAAGATCCTGCACGAGCTATTTTGGACACCTTGATTTTGATGTCTATGTTCTGTGACCATCCTATCATATACCATCTTCCGTAAACAATTTACAGATATCCGCTTCCTATACAAATAGTAATCAAAAGAAATACATGATGTGTGCATTGCAAAGCAAAAGTTTGCATATAAAAACGTTTCAGATGATGAACTCTGAATGGCTACAAGTATTGATATAGAAAACTTACTTATCATCCAGAGCTATCAAACTACACTTAACCTATTCCACATAATACTCTTATCTCTTGAGTAGTAGAATCAGAGACCACAGCAATCTGAAGCATTCCTTATCACTTTCTCACCGATTTACAAATAAAGTAGATGTTAATGTTTAGTTACAGTTAGTTCCTCTTTCACATGTAACACATAGTCATTGATATTCTGTTCAGGTTTATTACTCTTTAATATATCCAGATAGAAGAGATAATGTTTACATCTTATTCATTACTTCTTCACATGTACTTTTCGTAGATAATGCTTAGTCCTAGTTGATTATACCTTGCTACGTATACATAACTGGTAATGTTTGATTCTAGTTCCTTATTATTTAACAGGTAGACTTAGAAGATAATGTTTAGTTCTTGTTCATTGCTTCTTCACTTATACATAAGGATGATAATGCTTAGTCTTAGTTAATTATTCTTTGTGATATACACATCCATGTTAATCTTTAGTTCTAGTTTTTACTCCTTCACATGTAAAAAGACGGTGTTGAAATAGAAAAGGGGGACGTAAGAAAGAGAATATTTGTATGAAATTAAGCACAAAGCTGCACAATGGGCTATCTGTGCTCTGCCCACCACAGGTATCAAAACCTCGTTTCTAGCGTTGTAAGTCCACAGACATACCACTGTACTACTGGGGGCAGAAACAGTTTGCTCTGCTCACCACGGATATCGAAACCCGGATTTTAGCGTTTTAAGTCCGTAGACATACCGCTGTGCCACTGGGCGGCAGGCAGAAACAGAATAATTAGTAAAGGAAGGGGATAGGGGAGATTATAGAAGTGATCTAAAATGAGATAATTTCAAAGTAATCTCGGAACCAAAATTGGTCTAATAGAAATAAGTTAAGAAAAATATGGTCAATGTTTAGGAAAATGTATTTAAACAAAACGAAATGAAAATATATAATAAATTAAAAATATAGAATTTTAATAATATAAAAATAATAATGAATAGTAAATGTTCATATTGTGAGACATAGTCTGGTGGTCAGCTTGCCTGGCTGCGTACTCTAAGGTTCAAGTTTTGAGCTGTAATATGCAGTTGAACACACTCCGAACTTTCAGCTGTAGGGGTGTTATAATTGTGGCAGTCAATCTCGCTATTTAGTTAAGAGTTGTCGTACAAGCGACAGGTGCTTCTGACTGGTTGCTCTCCTTCCTTCTGGTTAGCAGTTTTGAATTAATTATGGCTTTAACCTTAGGGATCTCTAACCTGGCTGTTTAGCTCATATGTCACATAAAATATCGTTAGGTTTAGAATACCGAATACCAAAATATTAATGAAATAAAATTAATAAATAATAAAT